ATGAGGCATACTATAGAAGTAGTGGAAAAGCAATAATAGCGTTGGTGCTCATTTCACTTAATTGCCATTTTGCTCACAGGTTTTCAATGTTATTATTCAGCTTGATACACAACGAACTTCATAGCTCATTTTAAATGTATGCTCAATGGAAACATTTTAATATTCACTGAATTGAAAAAGAAATTCTCATAAGTTTAGATGTGATAGTTAGCGTCCTAACCATTGTCTTGAATTACCAGATGCATGTGAATTAGGCGAACCTTTCTGTTCCGAACCACCTAATTCTAAACTGGTGAAACGGCAGTTTTGTTTGCATGTCAGTGAAAGGTAGCGAAGTGAAAGGGAAAGCTTTTTTCATGCGCAAACAAAGTCTATTACACGGTCAATAAGAGAAAAAAGTGCTGATGTAATTCGAAAAACTGCCTGAATATTGAAAGAAAGGGGTGCAAAAATAATAAGCTCAGTCTTTATATATATATATATAAATATATTTTCTAAAAGTTCGCAAAACGCTGGCATTAACAGGTAGAAGGTTGTGTGTAGCCCTAAAGGGAGTAGCTCAAAACCTACTGCCTTTGTTATCATCCTTTTTTCTTTTGAACTCGGCGGAATGCAGGATATTGACTGCTCATAGGGATTTAGAAAACGGACTATTTTGAAGCTTGTCAAAGCAGGGATTGTTTTCGTTTGCCTCCTTAATTTTGTTTTAGATATTGGTTTATATAATCGCGTTTTTTTCGTTTTCCTCCTTGATTGTGTTTTTGATATCGGTTTATATAATCGTGTTTTTGACAGGATCATGCCCATATCAGATAGGCCAAAAATTTCACATCTAATTTAAAAAGCATTTTTGTTGTCTACTTGTTCACTTCTCAAAGTTTCCGCAATCCTTTTAATGCGTTGAAACTCCAAATGTGCTTTGAAAAAAAAGGTATTTTCGGATTATCTTATTGCAAAATTACTTGCCGCTCCCGCCTCGTCAGGTGCAATGGTGAACAAAAATCATGGATAGTTGACAGAGGATATATCTTTTGTGAAATATTCTGTCAAAATCCAAACGCCTAAATAGCTGGTCTATTATATGTCCCGTCAGAATATTCCTTGCATCTTCTAGAAAGCGTTCGATTGACCGACTGCTAAAACCAAGGTATGTCTTTGTATCTACTATAGGAAACCAACTAGAACTGATGAGATCAGTTAATTGACTTATGAAGCCCCATTTGTTTTATGCTAGAATCGAGAAGATGCAGTCATTTCATATGAAAATTTTATTTCATAGCAACGATTCACCGGTGAATTCAAAATGAAGACTAGCTAAGCTTTAGAATTATTTATAGTTGTGTTCCTAAAAAATCATCTTGATGTAAACTATAAAACAATACCAACTGGGCAATCTCTGAGGTCCGTTTGTAACACAACATTATAGATATAAACGCTTCTGATGGCTTATATTTGAAGGATAAATGCGTTATTTAAAGCAAATAAATTTAGCATAAATCTGATCCATTTATGATATTTATATGTACATACGCAAGAAAAACGTATGCAATTCGGCTAATACCTTTTGATGTACTGGTAGAGATGATCTAATGGCCACATTTTCCACTGGTGAATCACTCGTGCTGCGTTTGAAACTGAATCAGAAAGAAGCGAAAATTTCGCCAACATTTTCAAATGAAAACACTTTTGACGCTAGACTCTCCCTGCATAAAGACTTAAAAACAATACCAATGACCAATTGCAATAGAAATAAATAAAAATTATGTGAATTTTATAAACGATAGCCCGTTAGCTATTCCGGGTTGCCAATAAGCATTATGGATATTCTGAAGAATTTCACAGATTTACTGCACGGACACGGTCAATGACGATTTCGATGTACACGTATCATAATCCTTCAGAATGGCGTCGTTACGAAAAGATGACAGAATATTGAAAGGTTTTTTTAAATATACAGAGGCAATGTCCTTGGTTGAACAGCGTGCTTTATAATGTTACGAAATGTTACGAGGTATAAATGGGATCAAATATACTGAACTAATTGAAAACCCCTGAATGTTACATGCCACCTTCGTTGATCTCAAACGTAAGAAAATATATCATTAATTGCCTGTCAGTATTAACGTTACTGTAACGCTTAAATGCAAAATCCCAAAATACCTGAATACCTTATGATATTTTACGCATGATATACTCTGCCACACTAGGGCAGAGGGGTTTTTGGTTTTTCATATTCGCAACTTTTAAATGTAACGGACTGAGTATCGTGCAGATAGGGCTAAAAAGTATGCAGTTGGACGAAATGATATGATATGATATGAAATGATGATAGCATTATAGTATAGAGAATGCTTATATGTTCTCAGACTTTACGAAGCGCATTATGGTTACTATTCTTCACGTTTTGACTGAAACTAGGCCCTCGCAGGCTTTATGACCTCGCTACCCCGTCGGCGTACGGGTACATACGTACGTAGGGGCAAAATCACACAGATAGGTTCTTTACAGTTTAGGTACCTTTCGGTTTCATTAACTATAAAACATGGGAATAGAGGTTATATAGCGCTAAATTCCAGCGCAATTCGGCTTAGGGTAAAGGGTGCTGTCCCGGCAAGTTCAAGATTGGAATAACGTTTAGATCCAGAGATAATGCTTGTGTAGGAATTAATGATGGAGTTGGGGTTCAAACCCAAAAATACGCGCCCTCTTCCTAGTTTTGCGCGCGGCACCCTTTATTACTGGGGAACCTTTCGACTCTCACGTCTCGCCCATCATTCTAACTGAGGTCCTACTGACTCTTAATGCTTCCTTTACATTTGTATTCAACTTTGAAAATGTTTCATACACTCTGAACAACAAGAATCACGAACCGCGCACTTACGTTATTTTCAATCAGCTAATTTGCAACACTAGAGGAAAAAAAAGACATTCTAGCGTAAGTTATAGAGAAAGGCTATAATACCTGCAAAAGTCTAGGTGTTTGTCTAAAGCCATGCATAAGTATTTCAACATAATGAAACTACCTATTGCTTGTGCAGATGAAAAGACTTTTTCCAAGATTCGATTAAAAAGAAGCACTGCATTCGTCCAAGGCCTTGAATGCAAACCCGAGCCCATCGCAGAGTCAGTAATACGTAAACATAACGGATTCAGAAATATTTCTAATCTTTATGGGAGGCAGTAGCTTTGAGACCACATTCCTACTAAATAGACCAGTTCCCACACTCAATAGGTTCGAATTATGTTATATCACCGTCAGGAGAACATGTCTACGAGAATACCACAGGATTTGTCAAGCCACTCGAACGGGAGCTCTCCCACAGGTAGGATTCAAAACTCCGCAAGCGAGTGGCACATACGAAAAGGAGCCACTCCTAGCTGGGTAATGTTACCCGTCGGCTTATGTCTGCAATACACCTACGGAGTAGGTTAATGCACAGAAGACGTCGGTCAGCAGCTTCAGAAGTGGATGCTACGCTTCGGGCCTTTGATGTAGATGTATCGCGCAAATGGGAGGTTGTGCGAGAGGGTTGGACAGCCGCATAGAACCTGATTCTCCGACATCCAGGCGGCCTTCCTGTCACTATGCCTCCGACTGGCCGTAGGCCGGTATCATCTACACGCAAAGAGGTGGTCTACCCGTGTGACACGCAGACCAGACGGGAGCCGGGTGACAGTGATTCTGATTGAATAGGGCTGTATCGCACCCACCATCGGCATTGATTAATGACACCAACAATTCCAAGATTTCGGAAGCATGCGTCTGTCAGTGCAGGCTGTGCACAGTACTATAAAGTATCTGAAGATGGAACAGGAATTGTTCCCAGGAACCGAGACGACGTGAATCAGACTTATCTTTTTGCAGTCTTTTTAGGACGGACTAAAGTTTTTTGGCCGAGTTAGGTTCTAGCCAAACAGTACATTTAATTTTCCGTGACTGAATAGGTAACATTGTTTGTACGCAGCCTCCATACTCCTCATCAGAATGTTGATTCTTTAAATATAGTACGTTTATCATAGTTGAGTCGAAATAAGTGCGAAGATTCCACTGCCGGTCAATTTGGTAACGTCGGTTTCGGCTTAGTAAATGGAAATGGACGTTCAATGCTCTGATTGCAATAAGGAACATTTGAATTCCACTGCGTCTTGATGTTCTAAGTTAGAAGATCCGTAAATAATTACACGGCGACAATGCATGATATAGACCGGCAAGTATAGTTGCACCCATTGCCGCCAATTTTGGTTTGTTGGCCGTCCTTTATCAGTCATAATCCAGTCCAGAGATTTGGATAACCCGAAGGTTCTGA